GGACATAAGACATCAGGCCACGAGGTGATGGGGACAGAGCCCGACAGCTGCTCCTCTGAAGCGGGTGTGGTGCAGCTCCGTGGGAAAGAAGAGGGGCTTGGAGTAGACTTTTGGGGCGAGCTAAAGGTCCCATCCCTCTGCTGGGCTGGGTCTTGAGTTCCAGAACCCCTGTCCTTGTGAGCTTCCAATGTGCTAGCAGAAACCCCAAACCCACCGCTGCCACTCGATTCCAAATCACGGTGCCTCTAGAGCAGCGGTCTCAGCCTTCCTCGTGTCAAGACCCTTTCATACAGTTCCTCCTGTGGTGGTGACCCCCCAACCATAACATGATTTTCATTGCTACTTCATCACTGTCATTTTGCTACTGTGATGAATGGTCATGTAAATATCTGATACCCAGGATGTCTTTTCATTGTTACAAATGGAACATAATTAAAGCATACTGATTCATCACAAAAACAATGTCATTATCTATTGTGAAATATTTGTTTCTAATGACAAACCAATGACATTTTGTCTTGAAGCATGGTGTAGCATGGGTAACAGTCTTCACCCCTGGTACTCGTGTATGTGGGTGTATCTGCATGTGGGCGGACCGCCTGGAGACAGCAGAGGAGCAGTGTCTCGGTTCCTAAGATCATCGGAAATATGTGTTTTCTGATAGTCTTAGGTGATCCCGGTGAAAGGGTCATTCGACCCCTAACGGGGTCACGACCCACAAATTGAGAACCGCTGCTCTAGAGGGCGGAGGAGAAATGCTCCTCATGACGGAAACAGAAAACCTCCTTTTCCTCCTGCCGCTGAGCTGGTGCATTCAAACCACCAACCTTTCTGGTAAGAGCCCAGTGCTTTAACCAGGTGCTGCCAACCTTCCTTACCCTACATACCCAACCCCCTGACATGGGCAGCGGGAGCTAGAAGACATGTGGGTGATCAACTCAGGTGGGTTTTCAGGCCAACTGGGCATAATCATGATCAAAGGAAGGCCTTGTGGTTGACTAAGCAAGCGCCCAGGAGATAAGAATGCCGTACCTCTCATGACCGTCAGTCAGAGACAGGGAGAGGCAGAATGGTGAAGATTAGAACCTGTTTTATAGAAAGTTGAGATAAGGCTGTCGTGTGGTAGTTTCTGAAGAATTGTCCTTTTGTCCCGTGTATCTTTTACTTTCTTTTACAAAGACTTTCTAAGCCATTCCTGGCACTCATGATTGGGGTGTTGGGGTGAGTTACATGCTAGAACTCTCCTCCTCACCGTTGCCTTTGTAAATCCCATCGAATGACTATTTCCTGATGGGTCTGGATATGAGAATGTAGGGAAAGATGCTGATAGGATTATACGATTTAGTTGTAAGTGACCAGCGTGATAAAGAAAACTTACTGGGAAGATGGGGGGAGGTGGGTCTGGGAGAAGGCAGTTACACTTCTGTTGGCAGGAAAATGGAAAGGAATAATCATCCATTGGGGGAAAACATGCTTCTCAATACTTATATATGACTCAAGGGGAGAATACGCCTGGTACTATGTTCCTAATTGGACACTTTTGACCTAGTTACCCAAGGTATCCAACCCTTGATGACCCAGGCCATGTGCCGTTGACTACTGAGACTTTAAACTCTGGTCGTTTGAGGAGCACAACATCCTTCATGGACCACACCAGAAGGATTCAATATGGAGAACCCCTAAGTGAACTGGGCTTTACTTAAACTCATCTGCAGCCCTTGGACTTGAGGGAAGAAATTCCCTAGTGTGAGGCAAAGTAGAAGAGTGCTACTTTATCCCAAGGGTATACAACTGGTGGTCATTGGATTTTAGTCCAGACACCATGCCTTGAGGGTTCCCAGTGAATGTTGGTGGAGAGCTACCAGATACTTACTATTGTAATGTTTTCCTTGCCTTTTTATGGCTTATGTTAATCTGGAAGGCATAGCATTCTGCCATTGTGAAAACATTATTGAAACTTTTACCCTACCACAAAAAGAAACTTGGAACTCTAATGTGAGGATTGTTCAGTTTCACCAGCAGCCATCTCAGAAGTCGGAGTGGTAGAATCTCACTACCATCGAGAATGAAAAGCCAGGAGTAGAGCAAGTTTTTTGGACCCCAGGGCCCCTCTGCACTAAACCTCCTAAACCCAAGGATTGAAATCTATGACAGCAGAGAAGCAGCAGAGGAGTGGCTGAAGCAGAACCAAGAGCATGACATAGAGTAGTGGGCTTCTTAGTCTACAAAGTGAATAATATTGAATGCCTGTAGTAGTTACATAATCTGTTATCAATTTGAGACTGAAGAGTGAAGGGGTGTAGTCTAACCTGTCAATCAGATCACAGCTTGATGACTTCATTTGGAGGTGCTAAGGAGATGAATAGCTCACTGGAGGTGGGACACTGGCTCACTCCCTGCGACACATTCCTGTGGACAAGACACAAGGAGCTACACTAGAGCCTGGGAGCTGAAGGAGTCACATGAAGACCCCTGCCAGTCCTGAGATGCTTACACCACCACTGGTTCCACAGGACTTTTTACCTACCAGCCTGTGATCTTCCTGCATTCGGTCATTGCATGTGTTTCGTGAGTCTGAAGAGGGATTTATAGATTGGCATTGAACATATGGGCTAATATTGGACTTATGAGCTTGATCTGGACTGGGATGGGATGTATTTTCAGTATTCGATTGCTCTTATATATAAAGCTCTTTCTTATACACCTATGAGTGTCTCTATGAATTTGTTTCTCTAGTCTACCCAGACTAATGCAATGCCTTTGGATAGAAGATTTGTTTGCAGAGTAGGGTTGCCTCTGGACACTTAATTGGGAGAATTTAAGTGGGGGAGCTGACCCTGGGAGCTGGAGCTAGGCACCTTAAGACTGAAGCTTTTGGTAGAATAGGATAGCTTTTTAAGCATTCAGCAGCAGCACTAAAAGAACCTTGTAATGTTGCCCAACCAGGGAAGAGGCTAAAGAGTCATGTGACTGAGAGGCCAAGGACCAGAGAGAGCCTTGCCTGCAGGCATGGATGAGAGGAGGCTATCGTGGTTGAAAGAGATGTGTTCTGAGCATTTCTGAGCCTGACTTGTAGCCTGTTAACTTCCCTAACTAGCCCCACCATTGTGAGTATGGTCTGCTACTTCAGTCTGGCCACTGTCGAGAATTATCAAACCCAGCTGAGAAGCAGAGATGGCAATGTGAGGTTGGGGTCAGCGCTGGCAAAGACGGACAGAGGGTGGAGGCTCGTCTGACCCTGCCTCATGGGAATCTGCCTTGGGCGGCTGAGGTTGATTCTCCTTCTCCCTTATGAAGTCCAAGGAGGTCAAGCACCATCCTCCATGCAATTTTTCACAGGTGGTATCCTGCATATACTAGCTCCTTGATATATATTTAGTGGCCCAAACTTCCTTCAGGGCTGGGTGGTCCTCAGGAGATGAGAATGACAGAAGTAGGTATTTGGTTGGGGAAAAAAAGTGTCTGAGGACCCCTCAGAGCTGGTGCCGTGCCCCTCACTTTTCTAGAGGAAAGGCTGGGCCAGAGAGGGAAAGGGCTGTGGGGTGTGCTATGGTTACCGTCGCTAAAGCCAGTACACTTGCCTACCTATGGCGGAGGGTCTGAGGCGGTGAGTGGATGAAATCTGAGAATGTGGTCATTGCTGTTAGGTCCCACCGAGTTGCTTCCAACTCACAGTGACCACGTGCACAACAGGACGAAACATGGCCCGGCCCCACCCCCTCCTCACAATGGTCATCATGCTTCAGCCCATGGCTGTAGCCACTGAGCCAGCCCATCTCCTTGACGGTCTTCCTCTTTCTCACTGCCTTTCTAAGTCACAAGGAAGATGGTCTCTCCCCCTAGGGATTGATGGGTCCTGTAGGAGCCTGGGTGGTGAAGTGGGCTATCCTCGGGCTGCTAACCACAAGGTCAGCAGTTTGAAATCACCATTCTATCCTGTCCTTTAAGGTCACTATGGGTCAAAATCAACTCAATGTCAATGAGTTTGTCTGGGGGGCGGTTTGTCTCTCCTAACATGTCCAAAGTACCTGAAATGCAATCTTGTTGTCCTTACTTCTCAGGAGCACCTTAGCTGTACTACTTCCAAGATAGATGTTTGTTCATTTGGCAGTGCATGATATTTTCAGTATCCTTTTCCAGCACCATAATTCAAATGCCTCAATTCTTCTCGTCTTCATTACTTAATGTCCAGTTTTCATAGGCACATGAAGTCATTGAAAAATACCATTGCTGATGCTGTATTCTTAAGAGAATGTGGGCAAGGTCTAAATACTGGCTCCAGGCTGCATGTGGCTACCCTGGAATCAGGATTATTGACCGTGAGCGGAGCTTTTCTTATGTTTAAACACATGGAGCCTAGCACGGTACCTGGCATACAAGTAAAGACAGGGTGGGACACTGCGAGAGCTGCAACTTGACAGGCCTGCCTTGTTTTTCTGAATCTCACAAGCTTTTCGCCCTCGACAGAGTGAAGTCTTTGCTTTCACTCTCTAAGTATATAAACAAATTTGCGTTTTCCTTCTCTGACAGGTTTCTGCCTTACCCAGGTTTCAGCTCCCAGGTTTTACTCTACTTAAAACTATTGGCAAGCTAAACAGGAAGCAGATCAATAAGACTTACCATGTGTAGGCACTGAAACTCTAGCCCCACAAGGCTAAGTGACTTGGATAACCAGCGTCAATGAACTAAATATGCAGTAAGGTAGGGCTTCCACCCAGGCTGTGGCTCCAGCACCTTGGCTCCTCATCTTATACAAGATTGCCACTCAGGGAGCTGTTCGGGCTTGGAGCCAAGGGGTAGAAGGTGGTGAGGACAGTGGGAGTCACTGGATTGTGGTGTAGGTACTCTCCATTCATGAGGGTAGGAGTTGGAGGCTGGGACCAGGTGTGGACCAGGTAGTCTTTCTCTAGTGGGTACCCCAGAGGTCAGGTATGCCATCGCCCCCCTAAGAGCATCTCCAGAAGGCACCCTGAGGGTTGATCTGACTTTTCCATTCCCAGGCTGCATGGGTCCTATTCCCACCTGCATTATGGCTACATTGAGGATGCCTTTGTGGACCTCACCGGAGGAGTGGTGACCATCCCAGGCCCGAGCCCCACCCCTTCCGACCTGATGATGGTGGTGAAGACAGCGGCCCAGGCCGGCTCCCTGATGGCCTGCCAGACCCCACCTGGGGTGAGTGTGGGGCCCAGCCCTGAGAAGACACGGGGATCCTGGTGCACTGCCTCGAGTCTTTCCTCCCCCAGGGCCCCACATGGCTAGTCAGAATCAGGGCAAGTCAACCACAATGGAGCCCTTACTGTATACTTTACCAAAGTAGGCACACGTGATCCTTACGGTAGCTCTCGCTTTGAGAGTTCCCACCCGCTGCGTAGGGACCATTGCGAGGATGGCGTGGGACCAGGCAGTGTTTTGTTCTGTTGTCCATCTGGTTGCTAGGGGTTGGAACAGGCTCAATGGCACCTGAGGGCCACAACAGCACCCACAGCCACAGCGTAGATTTGAACTCACAACAGCCCTGTAGGGCTCCACAGGTTTCTCCAGACTGGAGATCTTTATGTGAGTGAACAGACTCATCCTTCTCTTACAGAGCAGGGGTGAGTTCTAACTACCCACCTTGAGGTTAGTAGCCCCGTACTTAACCCACACAGCTAGCACGGGGCAGTGCGGGGCTTCCAGTGCCACTGCTGACCCCCACGCCTTCACCTGCTGTTTCTCCTAAACCAGGAGGGACGGGATGCAGAGTGACTGGGGCCTCTCCCTTCCCCAAGAGGACTTCATGGTGCTCACTGTTCTACATTCCTTTGCATTTGGCCTTGGGTGTTCAATGAGCTCCTCCTTCCATCTCCGATCCCACTGGCTCTACAGGCAGTGCCCCGATGGTGTGTCCCACACGGGTAGCTCAAAGGACCCTCCAAATGACTTGAGCCTGTTCCGAGATCTCTGTGGCTTCCTTCAAGTATGTAGCTTTGAGTCACATAACCTCACCCCAAAAACCCACCAGAAAACTAAGATACCCTTTACACCCTGGCTACTCCTGCAAAGGATCCCACAACCATATTTTGTGCTGTGCCTCATTGATGACAAGTGATTAGAGGATCAAATCCCCCCAGGTTTTCAGAGCTCTGTGGGGTTCAGGCGGGGATGGGTGGGTGGGGGACACGGACTATGTGGGGATTCAGCCCCCTCTCAGCCTATAAACTCTGCCTCTCTAGAGGAAGAGGTGAGGTCTGCCTGAGTCAGCAGCCCGGTTTCACCCAGCCTTGGTCTTGCCGTTGATTGAGTTGTGCTTTTCCATTTCTCGAAGGTTCAGTGCAGGTCTGTTTTTCTTCTTGGCAGCCCACTATCGGGGACAGTGAGATGGAGAATGGCCTGGTGAGCAGACACGCCTACACAGTGACAGGGGCAGAGCAGGTAAGGCCAGCCTGGTCCCGTTTCGTGGATTGGGACACCCACTAATCCATGCACGAAAGAATGAAACAACTGGCCTTTGGTCGATGGACAGGAGAAGCAGATTGTGTGTGTGTGTGTGTGTGTGTGTGT